ATTTAAAAATTAAAATATGTTATGAAAAATATATTTTATTAAATTTAATTTAAATATAGTATTACTTATTTTATTTAAAGCTTTTTAGTAAATTTACTTTTAGCCAAGTTAAGTAACGCTATCTTGTAATTAAATGAGTTAAGTAAATATTCTTTCAATTAATTTGTTTTTATAAATTTAATAATTTATTGATGTGAAAATTTGAATTTGACTTCTTTACATAGTTTAGAAGCAAGTTTTGAAAAAAATTAAAATTTATAGCTCTTAAAACTTGCTTTTAAGTCACTTAAAAAAAGTCAAATTAAAAATTTTTTTTTCTAACATATTAAACTTATAAAGAACAAAAGTTACTCAAAAGTACGTTTACTAAACAACTCCATCAAACAGCCCACCGCCTAAGAAAGTAGGGGGCCTAGGGGCAACCGGGCAAGAGACTAGTTTACTAAACAACTCCATCAAACAGCCCACCGCCTAAGAAAGTAGGGGGCCTAGGGGCAACCGGGCAAGAGACTAGTTTACTAAACAACTCCATCAAACAGCCCACAGCCTAAGAAAGTAGGGGCAAGAAACTCGGAAGAGGCACAAAAGCTAAGATACCGACTCATCAACTTCCTTAGCAACCTTTGATGGAGTGCATGTTTGGTACAGGTAATAAAAAAAAATTTTGGATTTTAAAATTTTTAATTACACTAAATATTATAATTTTTCATAAATTAATTTTTTGTTTATTTTATTATAAATTTCAGAAATATCAAATTAATACTTTTATAAGAGTTTTTTATTTAAATTTTAATAAAATTAACATATTATTTTTATTTTTTTATTTACAAAAATAATACTTCTATAATAATTTCTTTTTAATAAAATTTCTATTAAAAACTCTAATCACACCAAAAATCACTAAATATTGAAATCCTCTTTTGGGTCTGGTCTCCGTATGAAATCCACTTCTATTGAAATAGGAACACGTTGGGAATAGTTTGCAAAATTCAGACATGTGTTAGATCTATCTTCTAGGTTTTAGGAGTTTTAAATAGCTGGATTACATGATTGTAAGCGATTATGTAAAGACGCAGGGCTTGTTTGACATCGGTGGCATGAAAAGCAAGGCAGTTTTTGATCGAGACTATTATGAGTTTTTTCGATAAGGTCGATTATGTAGTTAAGTAAATTGAGAGAGATTTTCTTCCGAGCTTTTAAAATATGGGAAATAATTTTACAAGGAAAAATGATTGATATATTATTCAATTGAATATATTAACTAATATTCATAAATTTAATTATTAAATTTTATAATTTAAATTTACTTATATTTAATTTAAGTTTAAAAGTAATAAATTTTTAATAAATATATTATAAAATATATTGAACTAAAAAATATATACTTATTGTTTTTTGTGATAAATAATAACTTATATCCGATTGATAACCAATTTTTCCCTTTGAACCCATAATAGCTTGCACCCCATCGATAACCTTCCTTGTAAACAAAACACAACCTTAATTAAAAGATTGGAAATTAAAATCATATATTTATAGACAAAGAAAAAAAAAACTGGAAAGAAAGAAAATTATTTTAATTTTTGTGTTTTTACCTCATATTTTTTAGTATATCTAATAATAAATTATATATATAAATAAATCTCTCAACTCCCATGTTTTATAATCCTCCTTATTTAACTCAAAATTTATATTCGAGTTCTCCAAACTAAAGTTCCAAATTCTAAGCCAATTTATCCACCCCTTTACACCACTCTTTAATTACCCCACATATGAAGACAACATGGCTTTTCACTGTATTTTGCAGCACAAATTTTCAAATTGATTCTGGCATTGACCATGAATGGAGCCACAAATTTGGATCGGTGTCCAGCTACAGCTCAGACCAGACCATGTTTTTAGGGAATATTCTGCCCTTTTTCCTGGTTGGAGCACAAATGTGGTTTGTTTTTAAGGTGAATCAAAATCAACGGTAATTCCAAGGGCAATTAACTAACTAATTATAAGGCCCACCCAAAAACTAGGAATGCCTCGCAACTCAAGCTAATTCCATCGAATACTTGTTCTTTCGACCAACATTCATTTCAAATCTTTCTTTTTTAGAGTACTATGAGGGAATGGAAGTCGAAAGAGATGGGATGAATTTTTTGATCAATTAATTGTAATATTTAAAAATAATATTATAATTTAATTAATTAAAAAATTTTCATCCCATCAAATAAAACATATCTTAAGATTAAATGTCAATTTTAAATATTTTAATCTTTAAATTATTTTTTTATACTTTTTCCTTAATTATAAAAAATATTTTTTTTGTTCTTTCCGTTAGTTTTGTCGATTAAATTTATTCAGTTGGCATGGGATGTGGCCATGTATGGAGCACGTCTCCATGTTCATCACAATTTCAATTTCTAGTTTAATGAAAGCATTACAACCATATATATTAAACAATAGAACTTGCAAGTCAACTATTTGATGATAAATGATAATCCACACGCCGCCCACCGACTGAATTGTTGTTTTTAGGTTGGATACATATCAAGTGACAGGCATAAACAAGAACGTGATGGGCAAGTGATTAACAACAAAGTAATGTTGGATAATTGTTTCAATAAAAAAATTATTAATATTAAAAAATGGAAAGAAACTCAAAAACAGAGCAATCTTATCCATTTTTGTTTCTTTATGTGACAAATTAATATGAATCACTTACTCCTTAAATTAACAATCTTTTAAAGATAGTAATTTTTTTTACATAGATTTTAAACATAAACATAGATTGTTTAAAGATAATAGTGAGTGTCAAACATGCATAAACATTTGCATATGAGTTCATAGATTGTTAAAAAGGGAGAATTTCATTTTGGATTAGTTATTTTAGATTAGATGCTCATATGATATTCAAATGCACTTATTATTTTTGTATTCAATTCCCTAACTTAATTTTGATAGTTTCTTCTTATTAAAAAAATGATAATTTCTAGATGCCAATCGAATTGGCTCGTCACCCGATTCAAAGCGCCCCATGAAGGCTACTGGGGTTTGTCCAGCAGCAAGTTGCGTGCGAGTTCATCGTTCCAGCCAAAACCGTGGGTGTTTTATCATTTTTTTTTTCTTTTATAGTTTCTTTTTGTTTCTTTTTTGCGTTTAATTGGTGGAGATCCTGGGGATCCTAACGTGGTCATTTGCTGTTGTAGAGGGTGGGATTTAGTGGCTTGCGGGTGTTGTTAGTTTAATTTGCAAGTTGTGGAGGCTCTTCTACTGAGGCATTTTCATGGCAACCGGTGGTAATTATTGGAGGCATTGTCAGTTTCTTGGCTGGTTTTGATTAATGCGTGTGTGGTGGCGATTGTAGTGGGCTTCAAGGCTGGATCATGACCATGGCGGCCGGACAGCAATAGGGCAATGGCCGAAGGATTGGAGGGCATGGCTTGGTACATCTGTTTTTTGTTACTTTGTAAGGTTGGGATGATGGTGGGTTTTTTAGTTGGAATTGATTGGGGTCTTTTGTGAGATCTTGAATGGAGGTGGTTTGAGCACAGGAATAAGTCATCTATCTTAAGATGTATTGGGAAATGAACATAAGGAATGGATAATGAGGTTGTAGTTATCATCACCCGTAATTTTGTTAAAATTTCATATTTTAATTATAATTTTATTAATTTATAATTTTTAAATAATTAATTACAATATTTACAAATATCTATTTATAAATTTATTTTAATTTACTAAATATTAAATATTATGAGTAACCATAGTCATAAGCAGACAATTAGTATATGTTTTTCAAAAGTCAATAACGGGTAATAAATTGACATTTGAGAACCATGTATGAAATTTCGGAGAAACCCCTAACCAACATTTTCAACTTCATTCTATGAAAAATAACTTTGAAAAGAAACTAAAGCAATGTAGAGGAAGGAAAAGGATACAATTTGCAATTTGCAAGTCAAAACTATAAAGTTTAACAAGTTTGGAAGCTAGGCACCGGACGTCATCAAGATGTACAGATTATGTTTGTTTCTCTTGAAGCTTTCTTCTCCTCCAGAATCTTGACGCAATCAAAGGGTCAATCTTA